CTACTGCCCTGCAAGCTGCAGGGCCGTCGCCCATGCATGACAAAAGGAATGAGGTTCGCCTTTAAATGGAAAAACACTCCAGCAGAGCCCCTGTGCTCTAAATTAAGCCACCACTGAGCCAAGAGGGGTATTGGGTTTCTCCCCTCATCCTGTCCCCTCCAAGCCCAGCTCCGGGCCGGCTGCTCCCGCGGGACAGGGTGGCCTCGCTCAACAAATGCCACCTCAATCCCCACGCGGCTCCGCTTACAGCTCCGAAACCCATCTGCGGGCAGGGGGTGAAGTCCTGGGCTTCAGAGCGGCTCGTTTGTCAGCGAGAATAGTTGTCTGTGGGGCGCAGCGTGGCAGCGAGAGGAGGGGGCGTCATCCCTCCGTACCATTGACCTAATTGGGGCATTTGCTCAGGAATGGGAGGAGATCGTGAGGACAGGAGCTGGAGGCAGTGGGCTTTGACCCGAGGCTGGGTTGTCCCTGCCAGGTGGTGGGAGCCTTCTTCAGACTCCTTCCCCGTGGCAGCAGGAGGTCCTGGAACGTTTGATGGGGTTGGTGTGTGCCATGGGGGACTGAGAGGGGGCCTGGGGGTGACCTTGGATGGATCAATAGATGGATGGATGGATGGGGCACACATGCCCCTCTCCTGAGCCCTCCTGCTAGCAGGGAGGTGCCTGCTGAGGTCCTGGTGGGGTTGACATGATCCCAGCTACACGTTCACATGGGGAACCTGATGGAGCAACCTAAAGCAGTATAAAACAACCATGTGGGTTATTATAACCCTCTCTCCTTCCAGTTCACCCCATAAAGAGCTGCTCCAGCAGCAGGGAGACAGCGGCGTAAGGCAGGAGCAAGCAATGCAACAGGAAGCTCCTTTGGTGTCCCCATCAAACACCTCCAAGTTGTGCCATGCCTCTCTGAGATGGAGCTGAGAGCCTTTCATCAAACCCCACCACCTCCCCACTCTCTTTCTTGGACACTGAAGAGGGGCCTGGCCTCAGCTCATGTGCCACAACTTCCAGCCACCTGCCAGATGTGTGAAAAAAAATATTAAAATCAGCTCGAAGCCATAAACAGCCCTTTGTCATAGAGCAGCAGCACTGGGGGCAGTGAAACACAGGGGTGTCCCCTGTGCCAAGGAAGGCACTCCGGTCACATTAAAAATAAATCTTATTATATTAGAAATCAAGATCAATGGGTTGGGTTTTTTTTTTTACTGTTATTTTAATAATGTCTATAAATTAAAGTTAAATGATTTTTATCACCGCAGTTCCCAGAGCCTCATGAAAAGCCGCCGCACAGCCTTCCACCAATTATGTGCTTTCAATCCAGCAAGATCACAAATTACTCAGGATAAGAAAACAAAACAATAAAAAAAAAATCTGTCATCGGCCCAAAACTCTCTGGAGTTTGCCAATGCCCAGAGAGAGCAGCATGATGGGGCAGTGACCCTCCACGACCCCCCCAGCATCCCCGAAAGCGAGATCTCCATCACCTCCAGCCCCGCGTTGTGCCTCCAAGGTGGCAAACACTCGGTGAGAAGGATTTTGGGGCTGTTTTTTGTTTCTGCATGGGGCAGGATGGAGGATGAGAGGGTTTGGGAGCCATGGAGGGTGACAGGGACCTGTCGGTCCCCCGCTACCCCTTTGCTCGTTGCCTTCGTCGCCACCATAGTGAGCCGATGTCCATCTGCGTCCGATGCCGGGGGAGATGGAGACGATTTTCCCTCCTGCCGAGGCTCCTTGACGCACGGCCATGGCCGGCCATAAACCCCTGCCCTTCACAGGCGCGTATGGAGCACGATGAATTGTGTCGCTGTGCTTATCGGCACCGATCTCTTAATTACTTCGCCTCTAAGCACCCAGTCAATTATTCCAAGGTCTGAAGAGCCGAAGTCCCTGGGCAGGGACCCAGCTGCAGCGGCAGGACAAAGGCTGGGGCTGGGGGGCATCCGAGGGGCTGGCAGCCAAATCCTGCCCTGGCTGCTGCAAATTAAAGTGGCTCATTAGGCGCTGAAAGCGTTGGCCACACGGCCATCACCAAGGCCCTCTATGGAGAGCATCTCTCTGCACACACCAAGTTAAAAATGTTGCTAAAAAGCCTTTTTGTTTGTGGCCAGTGCGACGACGGCAAAGCTGGGCTGACCTGGAGGTACCCATCCTGGAGATCCTCCCTCTGGAGCCCACAACATGACTCATCTCACCCCAAAGCAGCCAACCCACGGCGGCATTTATAAAATCCAGGGTCGTCTGCCTTGTTTCTCCCCCCTGACCCTGCAGGTAGCCCAGGAGATGCTCGGGCACGGTGGTACCAGCGTGAGCTCTCCCCAAATCTCATAGGGGTTTGGTAGGAAGAGCTTGGCGCAGGACGCGGAGACAGGCCCGACGCTGTCTTGACTTGTTCTCAGCTGACTTGTATTTGCACACCCCATAATAACGGAGACCACAACCCAACCCAGCCCCATCTCATCCCCTGGTTTGGTTGCAGATGTTGAAAGCTGAGAAGAAGCCCCCGAAGATGGTTTGTAGAGATGTTTCAACCTCCTGAGCCCCGCGTTGATTTAAACACTGCCCAAGCCAGGGAGAAAACGCAACTTTTGGCCCCGTGCCTCAGTTTCCCCATCCCCGTGACACAATTGTTGCCTCCTCTCCTACACAAGGTGACGAGGACTTGTCCCCTCCCTTGCAGGGCTCAAAGAGGGGCACCGAAAACACCCCTGGGAGGGAGCTGGGCCCTGCATGGGGGCTGCTGTGACCCAGGGGCTGCTGTGACCACCCCGGAGCCGTGCTCCCTGGCCCTGGGGTGAGCTTTGGCAGCCAACACAGGTCCTCT